GAACGCGACGAAAAAATTTTACTCGTCATAAAACGATAAATAGTTTGTCAAATTTTTATTCATAAAAATGCAGTTTCAACTGCTTTTTATTTTATAAAATCAGTCTTCTTGAGCCACCAGAGGGCTTTTTAAACAATAGCTAGTCTGTTAGCGCTGGTCAGTAGTAGTCCAAATTCAATACAAACGTTTTTTTCTTGAAAATTTGGTCATGATTTAAATACAGTATTTATTTTTAATAGTACCGATACGTCATCGAAAAGAAAACGTGTTGTATTATCATTAAAAAACAAATTAAAGTATTTGTTTTGATTATCCGGATTTTTCCTTATCCAGACTACCTTCATCCCCAATTAGTCCGGATAATCGAGGTTCTACTGTAATAAGAAAATGATTAAGTCAGTTCTTTTGCATATTCAATGGAGTGTATTTTATTAGTTTTTCATATAATGTTAATCAGTTTTTATTTTCAGTCTGTGAACTGTTTTCAATATTGGAAGTTCATTATTCTGAAACTTCTGTATATAAATTAAATAACAAAAAAAATAAGAATAAAAAAAAATAAAATTCTATTTTAAAATTATTACTTTCAATATGCTTTCAATTAGAAATTTATTATAAGTTCTTTTATTATATCCAATGATAAGAAAGACTGTTTAATCTCTAAGTCACATATCATCTAAGACTATGCAGAATTAAATATCAGACCATTTAGGGAATTATTCTATTCAATAAAATTTATAAAAATATTTTCATAATGATGTCATAATAAACAAGTTGAAGAATTAAGAAAGTACATAAGTATCAAATTTATAAATATTTTATACATCCAATATTTTCTTTCGTGAATTTAAAAAAATATTCTTTAGAATCATCCTTTACTATTAAAATTATAATTTTGTCATTTCAATATCAAAAATAATATTCACAATAATCAATTTGATATTGAATAAAACATATAATTATAATTTTATGAAAAAAGACTAATTCATAGAATTAAAACATTAACATTAAAATACCAAAAATATGAATTATGAAAACATTAAATTTGCATTAGAAATGTGAAAATACTGAAAAGTACACATAGCATATATAATTACAATATATACAGTATATTATTTATCTGAGGATAAAAATATCTCAATAAGAATTTTAGAAGAATTATGTATCTATGCTTTAAGTCAACATTGTTATATTAATATACAAGATGCATCTGAAATTAACAATGCTTAAGTATGATTATTAAATTCCTTCAATTTCTTTTCTTTGAATTGAAGGCTAAAAATATAAAATAAATAATAAAAGTAGTAATTTATAGGTTGAATGCAATATTATGTAATAACAGAAAAAAATCAAACTTACTTATATAAAATGATAGTTTAAACTTAAATAATAAAAATATAGTAACTTTACCTAACTGTCCACAAATGTCACACGGCCTTGGTTGATTAGGTTTGAATTCTTCACGAATAATTGTAAAATTTGGTTCATGTGTAGCTAAACCTAAAAATATCAAAAATATATATTCAAAACAATAAATATAAAATATGCTATTGTATTTGCTTATAGTAAAATAAAATTTTTTAAAATTATAATTGAGTATTTTAATTTGATTTTTATTATAACATAACAATGTTAGCTGTATTCAGTTATATAAGACTTACCAAATGAACCAACACCAGTTCATAAACAAACAGAAAAATTCTTTCCATGAACGTTTGTGGAAAGAATTTTTCTGTTTGGTTATGAACTGGTGTTGGTTTATTTGGTGAGTCTTATATGATTAGGTACCCAGATTTTGAAATACTGTATTCAGTTACAGGTAACCCCCGTATAACACGGCACTTCTATAGCACGGATTCACTCTAACACGGTTCGAGAATTGGTACCATCCCCCGTATAACACAGTACTTTTATAGCACGGATTTACTCTGACACAGTTCGAGAATTGGGTAAAACCCTCGTACAACAGGAAATGTAATAAATTTTTACATACTTAAGTAATAATAGTTCACGAAAATTATTATTTTCGTGAACTATTAGTACTTAAGTATGTAAATTTTCTCTTCTCGCCTTCTGTCGATACACGTGGTCCTTCTCGAAACTTGTTTCAATGTTGCCAGATCGCGACGCTTCTGCTTCTGATGTTGCCGAATGTTTTTCCCTTATTCCATACTTGCTTTATTCTTCATAAGTGCTTAGCACCATATAAGGAAATTTATAAAGACCTTTTAACTAGAAGCAAGCAATCTAAAATTACATACATTTTGCAAAAGGTAAAGCATGGATCTGAAGATAATGCAGAAAAATGCTCAGAGGATAAGGATAACTTGCCAAAAAGAAAACGCTCTCGGTTAATTAATAGTGTTTTTAGTGATGACGAAGAAAACATTGTTTAATTTATATTAATATGTATCACTTAAAAAAATTTTAATGAAGATATTTATCTTAATTATGAAAATATACTAGCATGTTTTTTAATTTTTGGAACCTAACCCTCCCTTTTGTATTAGTTCTTTGTTTCGTATAACACGGATTTGCATAACACGGCAATTTTTTGGAACGCAACTACCATGTTATACGGGGGTTACCTGTATTTGATTTCATCATTCTAAGCTATTATATAAGTTATATTTCTTATTTAAACAATATTGCTGTGAAGAGTGTTGGTGAACTTTTTTGTTTGCTTCTTTTGAATTTTAAAGTTATGGAAAATATTGAGTTTTAGATAATGGTGTTTGAGTTGTTAATGTTAAGTAGGATAGCATTAAATCCTGGTCCTGTTGATCGTACTCCACGGAATTCATAGATTCAATCATTGGCATCTACAGTAAATGACGTCGTTCTCTGAATGAACCTTTCCTGAAGTTAGTGAGACTGGAGGATTTTTTTCTTTCAAAGTTAGACTCAAGTAAGTCTATTCCTAAGTAGATTATTTCATATTTGGATGACCGATTTGATAAGCTTTTTTCGACGGTAAACAGGGTTGCTACAAGGATTGACTGGTTGGTTAATTTACATAATGAACATAATCAACAATTAACCCAGTTGGAGGTTAAACTATAAGAAATTTCTAAACTTAAAGATTAGTTGCAATGGAAAAATAGTTTGATCTTGCATTCTATAGACAAGGTGTTGAATAAAATGAGAAAGAAAAATATTTTAATTAAACATTTGACTGATAATAGTTCCAATTTGAATAGGAAAGTGCAAAAACCTGTTTTCTAAACTGATAGGTGAATCAAAATTAATTCCAATAGTTAAGATAGTGAAATTTAACTAATCAGATACTGTATTAGTGGAATTAGTCATTTGCAGACAAAAAATTAATTTTTGGTAATGTTAGAAAGATAAAGACTAATGATGCATTGAAGAATATACAAATTTTTGATGATTTATGTTGGCATTCAAGACTGAGATGGAAAAAACTTCTGCCGTTTTTACACAATTATAGGCTGAAAGGCAGGAGAGTTCTACTGATAGTTGATGTTTTGCAGGTTGGTGCTGAGAGATATAGTTACGACCTAGATAGAGGGGAATTATTAAAACTTGATTTTTTAGTGAAAAATCAAATGACAAATACTCAAAATCTTTATTCTCCAATCCAAGGAAGTGTACAGTTGGATTAAAAGTTTCAACATGGAATTCCCAGGGTACCTCCTAACTAATCTGAATGAGTGGTTTTGTTGAACATATTTCTAAAATTGATATTTTGGGACTGACCAAGACTTGATCTACAGCTCCACTGTGTTCAAGAGTTAAAAGCATTAACTGTAGATTAAAAGTTTTTGAGGTAATGACTACTAAAAGTTTAGGAAGAGGTAGATCTTTGGGTGGATTACTTTTAGGTATAAACGAAGACCTGGGAGAAGTAAACTTACTGCTGTCATGGCGACATATAATAATTGTTAGAGTGAAATTTAACCGGAGGCAAAATAAAGGACTATGAGAAATTATAGTTATAATGGCATATCTTCATATTCCTATCTTTGAAACTTTAATTGCAAAATTGGAAGATTTGATTTCTGATTATACTTCAGATTATGATCTTCTGCTGATGGGTGATTTTAATGCACGAATTGGCTTGACTATGGACACTATTTATCATGGGGATATGATTTCAAACATTTGACTATCAAATGATAAAATTTGCAATAAAAAAGAAACTAGTGAAATCTTACAATTTATACATAATAAATGGTTGATACCCTTTTGAATCACCAGCAGACTTTACTTACACATCCAAACTGGGTGCTTCAGTAATCAATTTAGTGATTTTGAGCGAGTGTCTGGTAGAGAGTTTGCATAAATTTTTTTATTTCTGAAGATTATATGTCTGACCATCATTTGGTAATTTCTGAAATCCTGATAGACACTGATGAGGATAGAAAATCTAACTTGATTGACAAGAAAAAAGGACTAATTGGGAAAGAAGACAAATCCAGTTTATATTCTGAAACAGTTTTGGCTAAATATGTAAATATTGTCTTAAGTGATGGAATAGAGGACAAATATTCTGCGATTCTGGATTTGATTAAGTCATCAGCTGAACAATGTAGGATGACAACATACCTGGGAACAATGAAATTACCATCTTCAGTTTGATTTGACAGAGACTGTAGAACAGCAAAGAAACTAAACAACAGGATGCTGAGGAAATTTTGAATATCTTGTAATAATGAAGAATTAATAAAATATTGAGATTTTAAATCAATCTTTCATTCATTATGCAAGACTAAAAAGAAGAATTATTGGTCAAATATTAGCATACAGTTGCAGTCTGCACGATCTTTTATATAATTTTGGTCTATTATTAATAGATTTAATTGAATGCCATTTTAATCAAATTCCTCTTCGTGACTGGGAACGTTTTTTAGAATATAACTTTTGCCATCCAAATTCTGATTTAATTCTTGATTTTGATTGTGATATTGTCTCTTCTATTTTAGATGATTCAATTTCACTCTCTGAGTTAAAAACTTCAATTTGCAAACTTAAAAGAAAATCAGCTCCTGGTATGGATAGTATAAAAAATGAATTCATTATATATCTACCTGATAAAATGTATTTAGAATTACTCAAACTCTTTAACAAGATTAAGGAACATCAAAATTTCCTAAGCATTGGAAAAATGTGTTGTTGCAAATGATTTACAAGAAAGGAGACAAACTAAAGCCTCAAAACTATTTTCCAATAGTGTTGTTAAATACCTTTAGAAAATCGTTCACCGGAATTTTGGCAGATTGGTTGAATCAATGGATAATAGAATTTGATGTTATCTCCCAGTTTGAAGGAGCATTTGTTAGAGGAAGAGGTACTATTGTACAATGTCTTTATACTTAATGGTTTAATACAGTATATTCTGTTCTGAATTCATGTTTTATACCATCCATACCAGGAGCTGATTTTCTTTTAAGTTTGGAAATTGAAGTTTTTAACTCAGAGAGTGAAATTTTTAACTCAGTTGAAGTTTTTAACTCAGAGTGAAATATGTTGTCAAGAAAAAAATGTAAAATCCATTCAATATTTGTGGATTTGGAAAAGGTTTTCAATAGAATCAATTTTAATATTTTATGGGGAAAGTTACATTTATTAGGAGTTTCAGCTTTGTTTATTAAGCTACTTAAAAATCTATTTTGTAACACAAGGTATCACGTGAAAGACAATCTGGCAAATACTAAGGGTGTCATTTCTGGTGGTGGTCTGCTTCAGGGAAATCTTTAAGCCCACTGTTGTTTATATTATTTATTAACAATTTACTGCAATTGTTTTCTACCTCTGAAACTTTGAGATTTGCTCTTGGAGAATCTGTTGACCTGCATTGCTTAATGTATGCTGATGAAGTTCTGCTGGCAGATTCAAAAATGGGTTGCAACAAAAACTTTCTTTGCTAGTAATTATGCAAAAAGAAATGATCTTACAGTTAACTTACAAAAACAAAGAAAATAGTTTTTCACAATGGAGCAGACTACTTAAATCTGATATTTGTGAATAATACTGAAATTAGTTTTGTGTCATATTTTAAGTATCTAAGAATACATTTTTCTTCTTCTGGTGCATATAATCATCATTTCAATTTAATAGCTAAAGACATACAAAATAAGACAGGCTATAGGCTTACTGTAAAAAAATGAATGAGGCTAAGTTCTATGAGCAGTATCTTTAAACTTTATGATGCTTTTATTGGTTCTAAGATGACTTATTTATTTCCGGTCTGGGAACTGGAGTTTCTGTCTAACCACTTACTCCGAGTCAGCCTCTTAAGCAATATACTAGATACACCCAACACACCTTATTGCTGAGAACATATATTTATTAAACAAAACAAACGTTTTCAACCCAATTTATGGGCCATCGTCAGGTTAACATTGTTCGACTCTAATACAAAATCGAACACGTTCAAAATTAACCAAATTAGAACATAGGTTTAAATTAAACCAATAGAACATGCTTAACCACAATAAAATAATAAATAATAAACTAAAATATCACACAAAAAACGAAAATAAAATATGGTGATTAACCGTACACCCTAAGTACCAATTCTTTCTACATTATCCCAGATATCTATTGAGTCTCTGCAGGTGTATTATTATGTGTGTTTTTTCTTACTATGTATTTCCACGATGAAGGTAACACTGTCGCATCCTTGCTTTCTGTCTAAACTAGAAAAAGTACAGATGAAATATTTTAAGAGTTTTTAAAATAGAACGTTCAGCTTCAAGTTCTGCAGTTCATCTTGAATTGTGAAGACCTCCATTGGGATTGAAATTTGTCAAGGCTATTCTTCTGTTTTAGTCAAAAGTTATGGAGTTACCCTCATATGATTTGTGCCAAATTACTTATAATGTTTTGTTAACAGCAGACAAACCTGATAAGAAAAGTTGGCCTGTTTCAGTTAAGAATATTTTTGATAGCTTGGGTTACTCCTTTCTGTTTTCAACTTGATCAGCTTCATTGTTGAGAACTCACTTAAATGCAATAATTCAAACTAGGTCAGACCAGCTGTGGAATCAGGATATATTGTCTATTTCAGCTAAACAAGTTGATTTGTTTGATTGCTTGGATTGGTGTACAGCAGCGGTTCTTAACCTGAAGTGCAAGAGAAATCTCAAAAATTAAAAAAAAAATACAAACAAGGCAATCGTGTTCTCTACAAACCATGGTACCCAGCAACACAGCACCCTCACTTCTTCATTCTCTACTGTCTCACTTCTACACTCTCTACTCTACCGTCTCTCAGCACATAGCGTTTGTCATCAGTCGTCAGTACACACAGTTAGTGTAGTCACATTGTCACGTGCAGTACAGAAAGTATTGAGACATGTTCGCATACCTTGAATACAGCACTTTTGCACAGCAAAACAAAAGCCAGAAATTGCTTAAATGCATCTGATGACTTATGTGTGGCTCTTTCAAAAAAAATAGCCTTGTTTTAATAGATTTATTATGAATAAACAACAACAACCTGGCCATTAAAATTTAAATCTTGCTTTTTATGTTATATAAAAATATATATTGTAAATAAACACAGCATTTGTTTATGCAATTTGTTTTTTCTTACATAAAAAATTTGCATACATTTTTTAAGGGGGTGCAAGAGCTTATTTTCAGATTCAAGGGGGTGCTGACCATTAAAAAGGTTAAGAACCACTGGTGTACAGCAAACTACTTAACTGTGAGACTAATTTTTCCACAAAAAGCCTCATTATACAACTTAGACTTAATAGATTTCGGATTCTATTAATTAAAGGGCTACCTGATAAATATATCAACAGAAAAGTTTTGTAGTTACTGTGGAAGTAAAGAGGAAAAGAATCTCTTAATTCATTTGTTTTGTTCTTGTCAAGTGATATATCAACTAAAATGTCTTGTACTAGGAAAAGATTTTAGGTATAATCATTTGAAAAATGAGGACATGTCAAAAATTACTTTATTTAAGATCATCTTCTTTTCTAAATCTTTAGAATTTTTGCAATAATTTATTACTATGTATATTAATTAAATAACATCACTGTATATAACCAAATTGTTCTCCCATTGTAGGAAATAATTTAATTTAAATTAAATAATATTCCCCAAAAACTCATGTACTCATTAGAAAAGCTAGTTTTGCTATTTGCCCACAACCTTCTTTAGGAAAGTTACTTAACAATCAAAGAAATTTTTTATCATTATTTAAAAAATTGGAAGTTTACAGAGTTCTCCTTTATAACCCCCTTCTGCAGGTGTTTAGAAATATTACATAGATGTTACTTTCTATATGTTATCCACACAGTTAAAGGAACACCAAACAGAGTTCTTTATATCAAAACAGATTTACCAAAACTAATTCAGTTAAGCATTCTGCATGCTTAGTATGCCCAATGCCTATCTGAATTAGTTTTGGTAAATCTGTTTTGATATAAACAATTCAATTTTAAATAGGATATAAAACTAAAAAGACAATTGCGTGAAAATTGTAGAAGTTAAAATTTATGTATGAATAAAACATTTTTCAAGATCTTTCATCTCAGCTTCATATCCCCAATCGTAGTCTATTCTGCAAGTAAAAGTGAGCCAATCTGTCTCACCTCTCACATGTGGGTGAAATAATATTTCTCCCTTTCTAACTCAAAATCTACAAACGACAATAACATAATGACTTCTCCCTAGCTCCAAAAAATACCATCAGTGAACAGATTAAATAAATAAACAGTAACAATATACATAAATTAGAATAACTACAAAACATATAGGAAAGGTATAATATTGTTCATATTTAAACAAGTTTAACAATATACAGTAATATATTAAAGAAACTACAGATATTATTGCTAATTGGTATATATTGTAAAGTAGCATTACATTAAAAAAAATATTAGAAAATTAACAAATGTAATTAGTTGTGAGACAATTAACTATTATAAACAAAATGAAATTATGGAATGAATAGACCATAGTAAGAGGATCAACAGTATTATCTGTAAATAATCTTGTGGGTTTTATATTCTAAACTATTAGTCTATCACCTCTTGTTTGCCATATTGAGGATACAATAATAATTACACCTTTAGTATTAACACAAGCACTTTCGACAAGTGTATAACTCATCTTCAGGTGAAATGAACAAATTTTAACAAAACAAACATGCAGAATGTTCCAAAGGAACAGAATTTTAAAATTTTATTATGCTAGCTGCACATGCGTGGAAATGCTACCACATTGGCGATACGATGTTAGGTGCGTTTCATTTTTTAGATGCTGATACAAGGCAATCCACACCCCGGGTAGATCGACGGTGGAAACATTGCATGCTTCTGTAGTAGATGAACACAAGCCTTCAATTGTCGCAGCATTTAATTATTGCCGTTCTGGGCCATAGCGGGTTGTAGCCTGGCTCGAGAACTTTTTTAGCAAGCTCTGTAGAACATCTTCCTTTGGCTACATTGTCCTGATGCCCTGCAAGGCGGGAGGTGAGCATTCTTGTTGTTGCTCCTATGTATCTTGTAATAGCTTCTGTTGCTGGATTTTCTAGGTGTATCCGGGGTGTAGATTGCCTTATATTGGCCTAAAAAATGAAATGCGACTAACATCGTATCGCCAACATGGTAGCATTTCCACGCATGTGCAGCTAGCATTGTAAAATTTAAAGATTCAAACATATCAAAAACTATTTGCATGTTCCTAACGGAATTTCCAGACACCTGGTTTGAATTTAAAAATTCTGTTCCTTTGGAACATTCTGCACATTCGTTTCGTTAAAATTTGTTCATTTCACCTGAATATGACGGTTATACACTCATCAAAAATACTTGTGTTAATACTAAAGGAACTTTATTAATGCTGAACTCAGTGAATTTGTATCCAGAAACTATATAAAGCTTGGCGTGAGTTTTTAAATTTAACTTTTTAATTACACCTTTATTATAATATTAAAAATAAATTAAAAAATATGTCTAATGGATCTAATATTATGATTTATTTAGGGAATTAAAACAATTTAACTTAAACTTACCTAACATAATTAGATCAGCTGAAATGTAAAATGAATAAAATTAATGAAGTGAAACGCTACAAAGTTATTAGATAAATTTTTTATAACTATAATTACTTACTATTTTTATACAGTATTTTTAAAAGAAAATAAAATAACAAGATGGTCAAATAATGAATGAAGAAGATCAATATAAAGATATTGACTTAAATGAGTTCATATTTATAAATAACTAATCATGATCACTTATATAAAATTACAGTTTACATCTAGATTTAACCTTAGAATATATTTTCTCTCTCAATAATGCAATAACTCAATAATTTTAAAATGTTTTTATTATAAATCAGTGCTTCTCAAATTAGTGCTCTGGCTGTAATCCACTGAGATCAAAAAACATTTGAATATTTTAGAACAATTTTTAGTTTTTTGTTTTTAATGTATTTAATTTAAATTTAAAAAAATTGTTTTTTATGAATTAAATAAAAGTGTTAACTTAACTTAATATTAAAAAGTTTTAGTAGTAGTAATAAACAATACTTTGTTAAATTCATTTGCCATTATAAAACACATCTAGTGGCCATTTTGGCTGTCAATGGCTACTAAATTAATTTAATTTGATTCATATATTTGTCTTAACAAAAGACTATAAACCTATATAATAAACTGATTATAAATAAAATTCAAGGGGTAATAAAATTTTTAAATTAGACTCAGGGAGTCTTGATACCAAAATGTTTGAGAAGCAATGTTATAGATCACTAAAGAATAATATATCTCAATGAATATTTGGTTCTGTTATAATTGCATTATTATTTTATTTTTATTTATACAGCATTAATTGTCATGTTTCTGATATAAATTAAAAAGTTAAAAAGTAAAATTTGAAAGAAATTTTTGTTACTTATTTTAATTCCTCAAATTAACTATTTGATCTGCAATTTACAAGTTATTAAATTTCAAATTCAATTCTGACCCATCTTTCAAAAAAAATTTGCCATTGCTGCTATAGAGCATAAGAACAAAACCATGCAAAGCAGGAAAGCTTTAAAGTGAAGTACGAGTGTATTGCAGTATGATTTTTACTTATAATATTAATTTTTGTTATCTCAGAAAGGAAATTTAGTTTGAAGTTTAAGTCTTTTCTTTTATTTAAAGTAAATAAATCATTTCATGTTATTAAAAATGAACTGAATGGCTTAACATAACTCAAAAACATTTCTATGCTTATTAAAAATATATTTTTGATTTTTAATATGTTTGAATTTTAGATTATGAAGAAAATATTGTCGTCATAAAAAGTATAATATTGCATTAAAATCAAAATTATCATAAAACATTCTAATCTAATTTTTCCATTCAACTTTTTATAACAATCTACAATTCTATAAAGTAAATATCTTTATAAAGTTATGATAGGAATTGTTTTATTATGAATAAAAGAAATATAGTAGAATTCATTTATTGTAATTATAGATATTATTATAATATGAGTTTTGTTTATAGTTACAAATTTCAGGTAAATAGGTATTTTCAAGCTATTTTTTCATGTTACCAGCCTCAACATATGATTGATAATGTGTAATTGTTATCAGTCTTAACTAGTACTTAAGTGTTAACATTATTATTTCTTCATAGTATAATAATTTATACTGCTGGTATTTCTCACATCAATTATATGCTAGATAAATAAATTATTATTAATTAATATTCTGGTTACACATTTTTTAAATGGTTTTAACATGTCTTTTTCATGTCAGAGACAATAAAATCAGAATTTTCACTAGCCATAGTCATATTTACCACATTGGTCCAAATATAAGTTAACTCCCAATTTTGGAATCCTTACTTCTTTGAAAAAATTTAGAATCTAAATAAAAGTCAATTTTTCATTTTTAATTTTAGTTGCATATAAGTTGAAATTATTGAAACAATATTTCTTCACTTTCATCTTCATCAGAATTTTCATTATCATTACTCCCATCATGATCTTCAGACATCTTGAACAGTATATCTCATCTATTCTGTTCAAGTTGTAACACATTTCTTAAAGCCCTTTATAATTGTGTCTTCACCAACAATCTTTCAGGTATTCTTCTACACGCATAATTCTACAGCTATTCTAACTTTTATAAGAATATGTGAAATTTTCATTACTTTTTATCTATGTGATTATGAAAATTAGTTATGTTCAATCCAATTTCTTTCTTTTAAAAATTACTTTAGTTAAAAATACATTTTTAAAAATTTTTATCTACAAACTAGCTGCAAGGACCCGCTTCGCTGGGTTTTTATTTGTGGGCAAAAAGTAATGATAGTGAAGATTAAAATAATTACATTATAGCCAATCTTACACGTTTTCACAGAATGCAAGAATTAGGTCCCCCGTTTCCAGACTAATTAGAGAATTTTTACGTCCAGTCAAATCAATTTGATCAATTTTCTGGAACATTTACAATTGTTCTATAATCGAACCAATTCGAATTTAAATTCGAATTCAAATATTTTTAAAATCAAAACAGAAAATCTTCCACTTTCAAGCCCATATCTCCCGCACCCTTATAGCTATCGAGACGCAACCACCATAGTGCATGAATGGAGACTTGGGGCTACTACCACATACAAACACCATTCACATGCGATGTGTAGTTTTGGCGGAAAAGTGAAATATAGGGACACACATGTCCATTTATATATATATATATGAGCAAAATTAAATTTTTGATTGTTTTCTTAGTAATTTTTACAAATTACATTTAAATCATACCTAGGTGATTAGAAAATTGTACTTAAGGTTTTTGCTTTATAGAAAGAAATATATGCATTAAAGATTAGACAACTAACAAGGAAACTGTCGGAGTGTCTTCTAATAAATTTTAATAAAATTTAGTTAATAATTATGTTAAAAGTATACAAAATTTTATTAATTCTTCAACCATTTTCGAAAATTCGAAAATTTATTCTAAATGTAATATCGCCGTCTTCCTCCACAACCCTTTCACTTCTAAAAATTTGTGTAATTGTGCTAAACTACTATAAAGTAGTGCAACATTTGATTGCTAATAACTCTGATCAACACTTTTAGTGAATGCTACAAATTTAAAATAGAGTTTGTATACTTTTAATGTAGTTATTAACTAAATTTTATTAAAATTTATTAGAAGACACTCCGACAGTTCCCTTGTAAGTTACAGGTGACAAATTGTAACTTATTGTTCTTTTGTTGATATCAATAAGAAAAAAATAAATAAAAGTTATAGAGTAAAATTGAGACAATATCCTATATGCTGGGTAGACTGCTTGGAATATACAATACATTATAGGCTTCCTGCATATTTCATATTTATTTCGTAAAGTATAATTGCAAATTTATAACTATCTAAAATGAAACCGAAGTTTTGTTTCATTTTTGCCTGTCTTATTTTTTAACTGTTAAAAACATTTTTATAAAGGCTAAAACATATAATTATAAACTTATATATTTGATTGATTATAATTTACAACAGAATAAATTTTATGGTAAATTTTCAGCAACCTCAATTTTTGACAATCACCCAATTATTATTGACTCTTAAGACTAAAGTAAAACTTACTAAAATAAAATTTCTGTAGAAATCATCAAACTGACTGATTCTGTTTAATATATATGATAAAAAAAAAAAAAAAAAAAAACAGGTTAGTTCAGTCAATCAATCAAAAACAATTGACTGATCAATTACTTACAATCATGCCAAACACTTAATTCCCACATAACCTGTCTTGCTGCAGCCCACAGCAGGACAGGTCACAAGTTGACTGACTTTTAGCATCGTTAAACAATTAATGCACTAAAATTTTATCAACAGTTTAATTCTGTATGATGTGTATCATAGACAGTTATCAAAATCAAAGAATACTTTAATCAGACTTGAATATAAATCAAGATTTTTTTTCCAGTTTTGCCCCTCCAAAACTGGAAATAAAAATCAACTAATAATCAAGGCAATATTATAGTTATCCCACTTAATGTTATCAATTGGTTATCATCATCAGTATATTAAGTCTCAAAGTGATTATTAATACAATAAGATTTTACCATATAATTTATTGTGCATATAAAAAATTTTAAATATTCTAAGTATATCTTGAATATGATGATAAAAACTCTTTCTACTCAAATTTAATTTTTTAATATTTTTTTAAGATTTGTTCACACACTCTTAAATTAATTATTTTTTATCTTTAAAGAATAATGAGAATACATACCATCAGCTCCACACAAACAATGATGTGTATTTGGATCATAGTCAGGATTATCTAAATATAAAAACAAAGTTCATTTATAATTTTGACTATTATCATTAAAAAAAATGCTAACAAAATATTTTTTTATTATACATATACAATTCTTAGTTATATAAAAATCTTAGTATTTTGAGAGATCAAGAAAGAAAAAGTATCAAGATTAAAATCTGATCCTAATCTTTCTTCAAAAGCATTTCAGTTTAAATGTTAAGTTAAAAAGATACAAAAGTGTATGCATATACTTTTATGTACTAATATAAAAATAATTTTTTTATAAATTAATATGATAATTTTCTTACTTCTCTGTTTTCGAATATAATCCATAATTTTATGTTCACCTTCTCCTGGAACACTTGCATCAGATAAAATTACATTAATTTTCTTCCAGCCTGGATCATTATTTAAACGATCATGAATATAATAATGAAGGCATGTTGCTAATCTATCCATAAACGGTGTACCCTAAAAATATTTTTTCAATGAATTTATTGCTTTAATTACAATAGTATAAACCATTATAATATTTACATAACAATAAAATAATACTGTTTTGAAATATGTTGTGAAATTGCAATTTCTTTAAAACACAGTTAAGCAATATAATACATATTTGAATTCCTTCATTTCTGTTGTAATTGTGAAAGTCAGAATTCTTCATATTTTAACGAATATACAATACTATCATTCCAAGAGTATTGGAAAATGTCTCTAATTTGCAGAAAAAGTAGTTATATATGGTAATATTCAAATGATATATACTTTAAAAATGTGCAGGTAATAAACTGAATGCAATGTCTCACTGTCACCAGTTGCAAACACAACATTGCCCCAAGTATAACTACTGCATCACAATCAAGGCCATCAAACACTTGTATTAAAACCAGAGGCAGATCAAGTCTCCTTTTGCCATTTTTAGAGAATGTTTCTGTATTAATAAAATGCAGTCTTAAAGATTTTATTTTTGTTAGTAAAAAACATTAATTTATAGGGGTAGTAACCACTGTGGATCCCAGTGGTTACTACATGTTCAAGAAAGACAGAGACTGATATTTTTTCTCAGTTGGTATTTATTATTGGTTAACATGCACATAGTCCTTTTCAAAGTAGTTCCCACTAAGTGCAATGCACTTGTGCATACATTTCTGCCAATCTTCAAACACACAGTGGGATCTGTTTTTGAACAATCCTTTCTGAATTGTCTCTGATTGACAGTAGCAGAATTTGAAAATCAGTGCCTGCTCCCTCTGTTCAAAGCATAACTATGCTTTGAATAGAGAGGAGAAAAGTCACAAGGGGTGAGATCAGTGCTGTAAGGATGATGTGAAATGCAAGAGATATTTTAGGGGCCAAAATTCCAACACAACTCTTGCCACATGAGAGCTTGCATTATCACAGTAGAACAGTAGCATTTCTATCCATACAGATGTAGGTGTAGTCTTTTCTTTGCAATATATTTCTGGAGAACATCAAGAATTGACATGTAGTACTGTCTGGTAATAGTAGTGTTCAGAGGTAATGCATGCTGGTATATCATACCAAGATGATAAAAGGTAATCACCATAATTTTGCCAGAGGATGGAACAACTAGTCTTTTTTGGGATTGGCGATGATAAGTGATTTTAAGATGGCAGTTAACTGTTTGCCTTCTTGAAACTCTTTAAACCACCAAAATGTCATTGAACAAGGAAGTATACTGTCAGCTTATGCTTTCTGCAGCATTGTATATGTCAATTTGATTGCCTGTGTTCTTAACAGAGATAATCAAATATATATAAAACTCAAAAAATGACAACACTAAAGATCTTACACAATCAGACCAATCACTGGCTTACAATATTCCACAAAATACTTATATTACATATTATAAAGAAAATATCCCATGATATTGAACCACATTTATATAGAACACAAAAGAAGCTGTTGTAGAAACCACTTTTGAAGCAAAAAACAACTATTTCTAGATTTAGTCATTCTATGACAAATAAAAACACAATATAGAAGCCTAAATGTGGCATATGTAGATTACAGTAAAAGTATTCAACAGTATCTGATATTAATGATTACTAAACATACCATATATATATATATCTATATATGTATTTATGTATATACCAAATCAAAATACATACAATCCAACACTCATTACATTCCCAGAAAGCACAATGCAACACTGGAGAACAATACTACACCTTAGACTTATGACATATACATTAAAACAAGCAAAAACACATACAGAATAATTGATACTACTAGTGTAGTTAGTAGTTATCAAAAAAATCCTAACAAATCTGGTTTCTTCTGTTTTTAGAATTCTTTTGCAATTTAATTATTATTTAACATAGATTTTTCACTTAATTATTAATTAGATTAGTAATTGATCTTGTCATTCAATCAGAACATATCAAAATCAGTTTAATTAAAATATCCCAAAACCTTGGCTATGGGCCATTGCCTATACAAGTATACCTCGAGTTACATCGTACTCGATTATACATTGTTTGTCAAAAAATATATGGAAAAATAAAAATCAAGTTTAAGTCATTTTATTTGACTTTACGTCCGTCCGCCACAAATATTGAAGTCATAATATCACTATAAAAGCGTTAAAGCACATAAAATCATATTAAAATGTATACATTTACAGTAAATGTTAATATAATCATCATAAACTGTAGAGAACAAAACATGAAAACATCTGTGTTTCTGTGTTGTCATCTTATTTAGCAGTCTTTAAATGCTCAATATTGGTGTTTTCCACAGTAGCTCCAATATCTACCGTTTGGCGTTGTTGTCAGCGCCACTCAATATTGGTAAATTTAATATAATTTAGTTTATTTTCTACTGTCGCAAGATAATTTTAATAACTGTATTTATTATTTAACCTTACAAAATCATTTTATTTTATAATGTCTTAGAGCAAACGACATTCACAAATAAAGAGTCCGCAATGTACTGTAACATCGCCAAATTGCAAACATGTACATTTACAAGTACATACATGAATTTGTAAATTTAGATTATTTTTTTCTGTACTATATTAAAAACTAAAATTTATTTGTTTGTAAGCTTAAAATAGATTCTCATTAACTATATATTATTAAAAATGCATTTATAAATAAAATACAGAACTGGGAATGGTTATTTGTGGTTTAGCCTAGTGACAAGTAAATTCAACTTAAGTCACCTCTCCTGGAACCAATTACCGACGTAAGGCAAGGTATACCTGTACAAGGTTATATTTGTAAAATTCATTGTGTAGCCTATGCATAAGGGTGACTAATATATAGAAAACCTGATTATCGGTAAAATTTAAGTTTTGAGAGTATTATATTATTGTCTGCAATTATTAAATAAGGAATAAAAAATTACTATATATTTTATAAAAGTTTCTTTGAATAGATTATTATTATTAAATAAACTTACTGGTGTAATACAATTACTATCAAAATGTTGTTCTTTCTTTTTTGCTTCAGGTAATTTAGCTCCCTTTTTTTCTAACTCTTCTCTAATTGTTTTAATTTCTTCGGCTTTCTCAATACTTTCCTTTGCAGCACGGAAACGACGTGATCTCTGCTGATTCATTTTTGCTCGAGGTGCCTAAAAGAGAAATTATTATTTAACAAATAACAAGTTTTTATTTAATCCAAAATATTTAATTCTGTGAGAATTTTTTTCTAAACTTTTACTTTCTACAAATAACATAACTGTCATACTATTTATATATCATTCTTATGTCTCTTGATTTGCAGATATGAACATTTTCATAATTTATTTATTAAAGATTTTTTTTTATCTTTATAACAATTTTTCAAATAGTGAAACCATTAAAAAAATAAGACACCATTAAATAAGAGATGAAATTTGTCTATTATCATCACTATAAAGTTTCATCATTTTATATCCATTCCTATTTAAGTAAAATAAATGATATAAAATGTGAATAAAATTTGTTTATAGAAATTAGTCTTAATAATTTTATTTATAATCACTCTCTATGAAATTCATCATTTATGTTATCAATCTGTGGAAACAATAACAATACAATAATTAGAATATTTGTTTGCTGAGAAAGAATCTATCTGAGAATTTAAAAATGACAGTCTGTTATTTGAATTTCATGAGAAATTATTTTCTCATAACTTCTTATTTTCTCATGCCTAATAACTTCCCAATAATAAAAAAATTTGTTTTATTAAATGTGGGAAAGTATAGATATTTCAGCTTGCTGGTAATATTGTACTGTTATTATGATTTAACGTGACTAAGTAGCAAAGGTATCCCTCATATAGCACAGCAGTTATGTTCCAAAAAGGTGTCATGTTATGCAAATCCATGCTTTATATGAAACAAAAGACTAATGCGAAACATAGGGTTAGGTTCCAGAAGTTAGCAAAAGTTTAAAATTATTTTCTGTTATTAAGAGAAATATGTTTATTAAAGCAACCAATAATTTATTTCTAAACAACAATTAATTAACAATAACAATTGTTAGGATCTTAGGGTGTAAAGATCTCTAATCATAAAATCTCTGTTTAATATCTAACAAAGAATTGGTTATAACGGTTGGACTGGACACCAGTCACATCCTGCTAGTCTAACTGACCCGAACAAAAGACATCCCTGACTCTCGCACCCACACATAAGTGTAACCTGATCGGTTCTAGATTGGACCCCTATCGTTAGGTTTTCACATGTGCAAAAACAACCAACCCAACAACAATTAAAAGTACTGTATTATGCATTAATATCAATTTTAGTTAAATGAGTAAATAGTTATATTCTAAACTGTCGTTTAGCTTAATTTAATGTCCAATGCCATCATTGACCTATTATTTCAACTAACTCATGAAATCAATCTTGTTAACGTTGAAGAACATAAAATTTGGTCAAATTATTATATCTTCAGCCACTCAGAAGATAATTAATTTCATTGCATCTTAGTCCACAAACTCAACTAAGCGATGTCAGGACAAACAAAGAAAGATCTATTGATTTTCTTTAATTTTAATATTTACCATCCTGTATGTGGAAAAGGGGTTAACCCAGAATCCTCCATTCTCACACTTATTTATCAATAAAAGAAATTTAAGTAATAAAAACATTCTCAACTTATAGTATTATACAACCCAAATAACTTATTCAAAAATTATGCAATAGTAAAACAAATATCTTTTAAATCTTTTAAAAATACATAAATCATATCATTACTTACCACACCATCTATTGCCATATAAAGTAAACGACGAGGTCTTACTATAGTAAATATTCGATCTATGTATGCAAAAATTGCAACCATCATCTCATCTTCATTCTCAGGTGCAGGTCTGAAGTAGATTCATAATAATTAATTTCAATTTTAAATAATATTCAATTTTATTAACTTAAATAAACATTTTTAAAAATATATATTTTAAATATAAATGAAATAAATTTATTAAAAAAAATTGCAAGCAATGAGATTATATTAACATATGATGTCATCATCTTCAGTTTTATATGGAAAAAAAATTCAATAATTTTTAGAACATTACACTGAAATAGTATATAATATTTAGAGTCAATGTATTCCTTCTAATTTAAAATAACAAATTTCATAAAATAAACTCTTAGTTCATTTATCTTGAAGAAAAAAGCATGAAAAACAATGTTACTTTCTGTGAATTTTCTATTCTAAAATTATAATACAAAAAGTACACTTCTCAAGGCAATTTTCTCCTTTTATATGCAAAAAACTGATATATTCAACTTCTGCATAATGAAATTTAAAGTGAAAAATCAATTCAACACAGTTCAATTAAATTCAATGAAGTTCATATATTACAAAGAAATCTATTATAATGGTTTTCAGTTGTATTATTATTTATTAACAATTATTATTCTCTGAGTTACACTGCAATTTGCTTAAGTTTTCTTCAAAGCAAAATGGAATTTATTGATAAAATGGAAATATAAAGTTATGACTCAAAAAATAACGATTCATGTAAATTCCTCACTTTTTAAAAAAAAATGATGATTTGTACTAAAACAGATATTTAAAATAAATAACACAGAAAATTCATACTTTCCTCACAATTCAATAAGTTTAAAATAAATTGCAATATATTAAAAAAATGAAATTTATCTTGTTAAAAAATACATATCTGATCTACAATGTCATAGGTTATTTTCCATATTCTGATTGTTTTAATTCTAGACCAGTGGTTCCCAATTAGTTTTTCCTGCATACCACTTCAAGAAAGAGCTCAAACTCGCATACCCCTTATAGCAGAAATTCGTATTAATCCATACTAATATTATAAATTCGAAGGTAATTCTGCCTGTTGTCTGTTACCTTTTCACGTCTAAACCTCTGAACAGGTTTTAATAAAATTTAGCACAGAGATAGCTTACATGTTGGAGATGGACATAGGCTACATTTTACTGCGAGAAAATATCTTACTCCCACGAGAAAATTCGATATAATGGAAGCGAAGCTGTGGGTAGACAGCTAGTGATAAATAGAATAAGTTTTTATACATTTATTATGTTTAAAATACAATTCTAATAATAATGAAAATAACACAAGGTTATTTAATTTTAATGTGACAAATGCACACAATTTTCTTTTCACAACTTTTTGTAAAATCTGGTTGCTTTTTGGTCAGCTTCAGTCTCGAGTCATCTTCGAGTTGAAGTAGGTGACAATGTTTAGTTTTCATGTTTGTCATGGCTGAAAATCCGCTCTCGCAGAGGTATGTTGTGCAAAATGGTAGTAAATATTTTATTGCCGCTTCGCTGACATGATAATAATGATAATTTTACAATTAACACAAACTGTGTTAATTGTACAATTTTTGTTTCTTGCGTAAGAATTTCATATAGGTATTGTCACAAATGCATTTTTTAAAAATGAAATTTCAAGAATATTTTTAGTTATAAATAAACGAATTTGTGCATTCAACATCATGTTGTAAATTGCCAAATTTTTGGTCCAGCCACTATTTTTTTGATTGCTTCATCTCATGCATTTAAATTTTGAATTGACTGATTTTAGATTGCTGCGCGTACCCCTTCATGCAATTCGCATACCCCCAGGGATACGCATACCACTAATTGGGAACCATTGTTCTAGACGATTACTTTCAATTGCTTTTTTGTTAGTTATTGATACATTTCATCAAAACTTCATTAATGCACTAATCATATATCACTTATATTAGAAAAATCAGAGTATTCTTACAAATGCATCAGTTTAATTTTTTTTTTTCAAGTAAAAGTCTTTGAACAATAAAACAAAATAAATTGTTATTGACAACACTGTTTACAAATTATTCATAAACTGTTACAGTCGATTCCATTTAATTGGGCCACTGGTTAATTGGAGCAGCCACTTTATTGGGCCAAATCTCAAAGAATGGAAACCAAACTAATAAATCAATACATAATTTAAATGCTTAATTGGGACAGTAGCAGAAAAGGAATTTAGCAATTTTTGATATATTTTATGGATCTTCTGAAAATGTCAACAGTACATACAGTCGTGTAGGTCTAATACCCCGTTTGCACACAATCCACGACTCACCTCGATCTCGATTTACCTACAATCTCGATTGTGATTGTCACCAGTTGAACATCGTGCTGTTTGCACAGGCAGTCTGCTTGAGAAGAACCTGGCTATTACATGTGATGATAAAACTGACATAACTACACGGTTAGTAACAAACACCAACAAACAAAATAGAAGTTTTGGTTAGAAATAAATACTTTTTCTTGCCATATATCTAATAATAGACAGATGTCATTGTCTCTCCCGTTGTCTTTTTTATTTCTCTGTTGATAGCCCAACACGTGTTCCACAGACATCTTGTATTTTCTCGCATGCGTGGGATTGTGGGATCTCTCTTATAACTGGATCTAGTTTCAAGAAGTCTTGAGTCAATCACAATTGAACCTCATTTCAGTCAAGATTGAAACGGTCAAGAGAGGTCGCACCACGACATAGTCGCCGACCTTGGTCACAATCTAGATCAAAATGCTCGGTGCAAACAGGGTATAACAGTTGGCAAATACAAAACAAGTTTGTCTTTCACTTGGGCAGCTCGGTTTTTCTGGAGGTGTTCAGCATAGTGGGATGTATCACACTGGAATCCTGTCTGAAACAGACCTGAATGCGAGCTACTGTCCTTTCTCTGGATTGGACCAGACAATTCCCTTAAAAGCAAAGGAACCAAAACCCCTCCAGCCAATTTTTTGAGGTCTCTTGACAAAGTTGGAAGACATCTAGAGTTCCCTTGGAAGGTGTTATGTGCATGTTTATGCCTAGATTCGGACAGCAGCCATCCGATCATTGGGACCAGCATCCAGAACTGCCAGATTCTATGAACGCTCCTGCTAAAGTGGTCCATTTCCAAGTAAAGGAAACTGTGTTCAAAGAAAAGCCGTGAGGTGACTTTTGGATGAACCCAGACATGTTCTAACTAAAAAGAGAAAAAGGAAAAGATCGTTCAATCAGGAATGGATTAAACAGTCAACCCTCATGTACACTACTAATATTTGGCAACACTAGCATGATACGAATCAGTTATCTATTGTTGTGACACTTTACTAACCTTTAACCTGCAGTCTATTTTATTAAAGTAGTCTAATATTTTTGGTCAAATAAATTGACCTTCGTCAGGATTGAACAAACAATTTTCTTTCGATCCTGACAATGGTCAATTAATTTGACTGAAAATGTTAGATTACTTTAATAAAATAGACTGCATGTTAATGGTTATAAAGTGTAGTTATTTTTCGTAAGTGCAGTTTGAGAAGACTATTGTCGTCAGTCTGGCAAATTTATAGTACAAATACTTTTTGTATTTTGGTTTAATAAAGCATTAAAAAATAGGTACAGAACCTAATTATTATTTTTTACCTACTTATTTCTTTAACTATGTATTACATATTTTGTTTTAGAATTTATTATCAGTTTATTTAATTGAGGCAGCCACTTAATTGAGCCAAAATGGATTAGTCCCAATATGTCCCAATTAAGCGGAATTGACTCTACTAGAAATTTCCACATCAAGCATGATGGAATACTTTTTATGAGAAAGCAGAGATTGAAGAATTGAGAAGAGTAGAGATTTCAAGAAATTCAAGAGTTGTTAATATTTTTACAAATTTAGTAGTTTCTACTATCTATTATAACATAAAGAGCAACAAACAAAATTTCACCTGAAGTGGACAAAAAAGTAAAAGTTATAGAGAATTCCCTTACACACATACATACATACAAGAAAGACTTCAGCCGTACACAAAGTGTTTAGTCGGCGGAAAAGAGGGTAAGGGAAAGGGGAGGAGATAGATAGTAGAGAAAGGTAGGATCTCTCTGAACGGTGCATGTATGGCTACAGTATCTTCTATGTTTGATGTTGGCGTGCAGTTTTTAGGCTGCAAGGCCGTAGTTCCCTGAAGAGTCTAAAAGAAAACATGAGTGTAATGAACACCAATGATCCAGTGCTGCCGCAAATAGCTAAGTGTAGAAGTTAGTGCCAAGTAACTGTTAGTAGGAAGACTTATATATACTTAATGCTAAAGAAACTGAACGTGGGTGCGAATCTTAATACTATCTAACAGCTAGACAGACAATGCAAAAAAACAAAGGAACACAACAACAAACTATATGAGATGAACGGACAGACAAAAGACAAACATGCAAAACCCCAAATTCTTTTATTTTTTTTTAACATTAACTTACTCACTAACTAAACTAACCTACCATAACCTAGGACAAACCTAACCAGAAATCACATTAAGAGTCCCTGATATAACTTACAACTAAAATTAACTTAAACTAACCAAATTTAGACCGAAAAAAATTAGAAAGAAAAGACCGAATGTAAGAATTAAAATACAAAGTTGAAAACAGCTATATATCGACAGTTGAAACAAAAAAAGAAAAAGCTAATTGCCATCTGTGCCCCCAGAGAGTGTGCTCCCAAGAGCCCCACTAAGGGATATGAATGCGAGTAGATGATGGAACATTGTACGCATGTGAATGAGATAGCGCAGGTTGCAAGGCCAGTTGTACCCTTCAAGAATAGCAGCTCTCATTAAACTATCCCTAATATGATTGTACCTATTGCAGCAAAAAACTAAGTAAAGTGGTTTTTGGTTCTCCTGAATACCACAATTGCATTGTGGATTGTCTCCAAGGTTAAATCTATGCAAGTATTGCTTAAAGTTGCCATGTCCTATAAGTAGCTGAGTGAGGGTGTAACTAGGATCACTTACACACACACAAACAAACAAACAGATTTAGACCTTTATATAAAAATAATATTAAAATCTTTCTTCATAAAATTACTTTATACACTCTATTGTCTTTGAA